CGGTGTGGTGGCTCACACCTATAATCCTGGCACTTTGGGAGACTGAGGCAAGAGCATTGCTTGAGCCCGGGAGTTTGAGACCCACCTGGGCAACACAGTGAGACCCCATCTCTACAAAAGTTAGAAAAATTCGTTGGGCATGATGGTGCGCACCTGTAGTCCCAGCTACTCAGGAGGCTGAGGTGGGAGGACTGTGAGAGCCCAGGAGGCTGAGGCTGCAGTAAGCTGAGATAGTGCCACCACACTCCAGCCTGGGTGACAGAGTGAGACTCCAACTCAAACAACAACAAAAACAAAACACTAGGTAGGTAAAAACTGAGGACAGCTGAAGAAAGCAGAAACTTTAGTTAATAAAAACAAACTGCGGGGGCAACCCCTTCGGGTCCCTTCCCACTGTGGGAGCTTCTCTGTCCTGTCAAAAAATCCTGCTTTCTCGCTTACTCGGTGGCTCAGCCTGTCGCCCCAGCACTTTGGGAGCCCGCGGATCTGAGACCAGCCCGGGCAATTTGGGAGGCCTCGTCTCTACAATAAATCAAAAAATTAGCTGGGCGTGGTAGCACGCACCTGTAATTCCGGCTACTCGGAAGGATCGCCGGGGCCCAGCAGGTCCCAAACAAAACAAAACAGCTTCCTCAGACATCAGGGAGGCCAGCCTCCTGCAGGTGTCTGGGTTGACTCATCCTCTTTTGGGTGGAGGAGGGGTCCCCACAGGCTGCTGCCCAGGACCCCCTCCTTCGCTCTGCTGGCTGCTAGCCCTCCTCATTTCCAACACACCCAGCACACGCCTGCCCCAGGGCCTTTGCATGGGCTGTTCCAGCTGGTTGGAGGCCTCAGGTGATCCTGGCTGCCTGATCCTGTGTGCTCTCCTTTCCCCAACATCTTGGGCCACCAGAAAGGTCAAGGTGGGTTCTTAATGGTCAGAACAGAGTTGCCCACTCCTCGGGCTGCCGAGAATGCCCTGGAGGCTGAGCAACTGGGGTGATGGCAGGGCATCTGGGGTCTTGGAGGGAATGCCTCCCTAGGGGAGGGAGAGCGACAGCCCCCTACATGGGGTCTCGAAGTGATGAGGGGTGGGGGTCCAGGGGCCTGATTCCAGCTGCATCATAAACATTTAGAAAGTATTTTTAGGCCAGGTGCGGTGGCTCACACCTAGAATCCCAGCACTTTGGGAGGATCCCTTGATCCTAGGAGTTCAAAACCAGCCTGGGCAACAACATAGCAAGATCCCCTCTCTACCAAAAAACAAAAAAAAGCCAGATGTGGTGGTGTGCACCTGTAGTCTCAGCTACTTGGGAAGCTGAGGCAGTAAGATCGCCTGAGACCAGGAGGTCGAGGCTACACTGAGCCGTGATCACGCCACAGCCTGGGCAATAGAGTGAGACCCCCAACTCATTTAAAAAATTGGAGAGCAGTGGCACAATCACAGCCACTGCAGCCTCGACCTCCTGGTCTCAGGCGATCCTTCTGCCTCAGCCTTCTGAGTAGCAGGAACTACAGGCATGCGCTACCACGCCCAGCTGATTTTTTGATTTATCGTAGAGATGAGGTCTCGCCAAGTGGCCCAGACGGGTCTTGAACCCGCGGGCTCAGGCCATCCACTCACCTCGGCCTCCCAAAGGCGAGGGATGACAGGCTGAGCCGCCGAGCCTGGCATTTAAGAAAAAATTTTTAAGTAGAGACAGGTCTTGCCACGTTACCCAGACTGGTCTGACTCCTGCCTCAAGCAGTCCTCCCATCTCAGCCTCCCAAAAGGCTGGGATTACAGGCCTGAGCCGCCGCCTGGCCCAGATGTTTAAGGAAAACTGCTAAGCAGCGGCCTCCCTCAGGTAACGGAGACTTCGGTGGGTTTCAGAAGAGCCCCCTTCCAGAGGGCTCGGGGGCAACGCATCCAAGCGGTCCTGCGGAGGGAGGGCGTGGAGGGTCCAGCCTGGCAGGGCAGGGGAGGGTGGCTGGGGGAGGGGAAGACGCCGAGGACGCGAGGAGTATTTTTAGGTGCTGAACACAGCCCTGAAATATTTCCACGGCCACTCCCGGGAGCGCTGGGTGACTATTTCGGGGCCCAGTTCCAGTGGAGGCGGGGTGGGTGAGTCACTGCCGGGTGGCCGCAGAGGCTGGGCCAGGCTGGGAGGGGGCTTGCCAGGCAGGGTCACGCCTCACTGTCCCGGGCCAGCCTTCCAGTCCGGCCTCCAGGGCGCAGAGGACCGTGGCTGACCACTGCCCCGACACGGGCCGGTTCGTGGGACCACTGCCTGGGTCCCCCCGGACAAGGACAAAGAGGACCCCTGCTGAGGCTCTAGTCACGCTGCAGGTACAAGCATTTATGGAACGCGTGCTGTATGCAAGGGGAGTCCTAAGACAGTTACCCACGTTCCCCCTCCATAGAGTCCTCCCAGCGCCCCCACAAAGGGCTGCCAATCCCAGGAAACTGAGGCGCACAGCAGGGTGAGCCCGCTGGGCAGCCTCACCGCACACCTCAAGCCCTCCCTCAGCTAATGCCACACTCAGGGGAGTGGACTTTATTTTGTTACTGCTTTTAGAAACGGGGTCTTGCTGTCCACCCAGCTGGAGTGCAGCGGTGTGGCCTCCACTCATTGCAGTCTCAAGTTCTTGGATTCAATTGATCCTCCTGCCTCAGCCTCCAAAGTAGGCTGGAAGTACAGGCACCGCCATTCTTGACTCATTTTTAAAAAGTTTTTTTTTTTTTTTTTGAGTTGGAGTCTCACTCTGTTGCCCAGGCTGGATTCAGTGGCACACTCCCGGTCACTGCAGCCTTGACCTGCTGGGCTCCGGTGATCCTTCTGCCTCAGCCTTCCAAGTAACTGGAACTACAGGCACACGCCACCACGTCTGGCTAACTTTTTGATTGATTGTAGAGGTGAGGTCTCGCCAAGTTGCCCAGGCGGGTCTGGAACCCATGGGCTCAGGCAATCCTCTCACCTCGGCCTCCAGGGCTGGGATTATAGGCATGAGCCACCGCGCCCAGCCCAGTTTGCATTTTTCATGGAGACAGGGTCTTGCTGTGTTTTTCAGGCTGGGCGCAGACTCTTGGGCTCACGGGGCCCTCAGGCTTGTGACCTGAACCCTGGCCTCCCCCACCCCTCCCCCACAGAATGGCCACGAAGCTCAGAGGCTCTGCACCTGCTGCTCCTTGCAGTTCCCTGCTCTCTCCCCATGGCTGGCGGCTTCCTTTAGGGACTCGGTTTGGTCGTGGCCCCTCCGCGAGGTCTCCGCGGGACCTGGCTTCCAAGCGACGACGTGCCGTCGGCCGGGCCCGCAGCAGCCTCCTCCCTGGGCCGAGCCCCGCACTCCTCCGACGGTCCGAACCCTGTGGTTCCATCCTGCTCAGGGCCCACACCCTGCCACGGCCTGCCTGCTTCCTTCTGCTTGTGTTCACCGGGCACAGGGCCTTTGCACGGGCCATTCCCCGCCCCCACGTCCCTTCCCAGGCAGCTGGCTTTCTGGCCTCCCCCGAGCCCCTCGAATGTCGCCCCCCACCCCTTCCCTTCCTCATCTCCCTGCCTGCAGGGCTACGCCTCGGACAGGCTTGGGTGGGCTCACCAGTGGGAAGGGGACGGGCCCTTGGGGCTGTCACCAGCGCCTGGGACAGGGCATGTGGCTCCAGCGCCGGGAGGAAAGTGACAGGGACACAGGCCGAGGAGGTGAGACCCTGCTAAGGGGGAAGAGGAGGGAGGGGGAGGAGAGGGGGAAAGCGGAGGAGCGAGGAAGAGGAGAGGCGAGGCCTGGCTGCGGAGGTGCGAGGCGCACCGGAAGCGAGGCCTCCCCAAGGCCGCCCCTGCCCGTGTCCCCGAATGGGGCTCTGGACCCAGGCCGAGGCAGTGGCAGACCCGGGCCTGTGCGTGGGGGGGAGGCGGGGGTGCAGCTCGGTGGCAGCGGCCCGGAACAGGGGATGGGGGGCTGAGTCACCCTGCGAGGCTCGCGTGGGCCTCTCTGACAGAGCGGATGGTGAGGAGGCGCCCGCCAGGGGACGGGGGCGCAGGCGACAGGCCGCGGCCCTCAGAGAGCCAGGAAGATCTGGAAGCCTGGGTCCAGGCAGAGACCGGAACTCAGGTTCTCTTGCGGGGAGGGGGTGAGGACGAGGCTTCTCCACACAGACCAGGAAGAGCGAATGCAGGCGCCCGACACTTGGCTGGGGGTTGGAGGCCTCTGGAAGCCACTGCACCGACGTGGCCCCTGCAGCCCTGCGGCTGAGGCACGTGAGGACGCTGGGTCCAGGGCCGGCGGCCACCCAGGCGGAGGTCAGAGCAGCTCTTGTGCCTGACTGCGGTGGGCGGGAAGGGAAGTCCTCCCAGCACCCAGATTCCCGGGAAACCTCCGGCGACAGCCTCCAGCCAGAGCAAGTCCTCAGAGGCCTCTGGGGGCCAAGGAGTCTGGGTGGGGGGCGGGCTGCAGCTGGGCTGGCCAGAGAACCCCGAGGCTGCCGGGCCTTGGTGGCCCCCCCAGGCTGCTCGGACCCCCTGCCCGTCTCCAGCCCCCACCCCAGTGCTGCTGGGCGCACCCAAGGGGCAGGACGGTACCCCGGGCTCCAGAGCGGTCCCCATGCACGGGGCTTTTGCCCCCATCGCCCAACCCAGGTCTTGACAGGGTCCGGGGAGCCCAGTGGGGGACGATACTTGGGGCAGCTCCCAGAAGCTGGCCAGTATCACAGCTCACCTAGGGAGTCTCTGGATCTTCTGGGCGCCTCTGTCCAGGCTCCTCTGGGGGGCACAGATGCAGGGACACATGGGGGCACCCAGCCGGGGGGGTGGGGGCCCCAATGGGCTCCTGCCCAGCACTGGCCTCCCCCTTGCCTCCCAAGGCACAAAGGGGAGGTTGCCCCCCATGGCCCCACTGCCTGGACACCATCTCAGACCTCGTGCCCCAGGGAGAAGCTGAGATGGCCTCTGCCTCCACAGGACGGTGGCCTCCTGTGCAACCGGGCTGCCTGGGGGCAGGGACAGGGGACGGCGGGTGTGCCTCGTGCTTAGAAGGAACAAGGGGTCTGTGGGGCACACTTGTGTTACTTTTATTTTTGTAACAGAGAGAGGAGGAAGCAGGCAGTCCCCGCCATGCCCTGCAGGCCCGAGGCAAAGGGTGGTTTCAGGCCATGCTGACGACCCCAATCTCAGTGCAAGCGGCTTCAAGGGAAACCTCAGGCTGTGCTCGGCCTTGAGCTGTCCAGAACAACTCTGTGCAGAAAACACCCTTGTATGGGCGAGGGCTTCAAGACACCTCAGACACACAGAATCTTCCAGAATCCCTCAGCCGCGGGGTCAGTGATTTCACAAAACCCCGAATAACGACATGTCCAGCTGGAGAACTGCAGGCGTAAGACGAAAGGGACTCCACCTAGGGAGGAGGGCCACTGCCGGTGGCTGCCCAGCCTGCCAGCCTTCCGCTGGACAGACCGCAAGCCACAGAGCAGGCCTCACTGCTTGCCTGCCTGCCGGCCCGGCTTCTTCTCCGGCTGGCCTCGGCCTGTGCCCGGGATCCCGCCTCGGCCCCGGCCGCCGAACACACCTGCAGAACAGAGTCACGCTGCAGCTGTCGGGTGGGCGTGGCCCACGGTGGGTCTCCTGCAGCTTCCCCTGCCACCCAGCGTGGGGCCCCTGGGCAGCCTCATCTGACAAGGGACGAGACCCAGCCCCAGGCTGACAGGACAGAGCAGGCACGTGGGGGACCTAGCCCGGCTCTGGAATGGAAAAGCCAGCAGGGCTTCCTGGAGGGGCCAGATGGGGGCAGAGGCCTGGGCAGCAAGCAAGGCTGGAGGCTGCGTGGGACCCGGGCCTCCCGGGCGCCAGTGCTGCTGCTGTCTCTCACCCGCTGCCAGGAGAAAAACAAAAGGGAGGCTTCTGTGTCTGGCCTGGGGTGGGAAGGGGAGGGGGCCTCGGCAGGCCCAGGCCGCTGGCTTTACATGCAGCCCAAAGGTGGGTGCATGCAAGGCTGTGGGGGTCCAGCACCCCCACAGGGAGGACTTGGGCCGCGGGCTGCCCGAGGGGAGGCTGGAGGCCTGGAGGAGCCTGAGCGGCAGTGCCCAGGCCCATCCCTGCTGCACCGAGGCCCCTGCAGTCGGCCCGGGAGGCCCACCAGGCTGAGCGGGGTGGGCCCGATGCTGGCCTTGCCCCTTCCTTGCAGCTGTGGGGCCTGTTTTGGAGAGCCTTCTCGCCAGGCAGGTGCGGGGGTGGGGGGGGAACTGAACATCAGGAAAGCCAGCACCAGCAGGGGGCCAGGTCTGCCTGCAGTTAGGTTAGGGGAGGGGCCGACCACCGCAGGCCAGACTCCCGACTCCCCCGTGCACTCAGCCCGGTGAAGAGGTCCCCAAAGCCAGGCTGCTCCCTCTGCTCACCCCGGCCCTGAGAGCAGCCTGCCGGGACGACGTCCAGCCCACAGAGGCCCCAGACCAGGAAGAAGCCAAGGCCGGCACTCAGGACACCAGGGTGGGGGAGGGGCAGCGTCGACCAGAAGGTGATGCTTCGGGAAAGGGGCCTAGCCCGTCCTGAGGTGGGAGCCGCTGGGCCCTCTGCAGGGGGAAACTGAGGCCTGGGCGGCAGCTCCCAGGGCCCAGGGCCCGGCTCAGAGCCAGCAACCCCGGCTGCCGCTGGGTCCCGCGCAGACCTACCTCGCCCGGCGCCCCCCATTCCGCGGCCCTTCTGCTGCTTCTGCTGCTGCAGGCCCCCGCGGCCGCGGCCCTTGGCCACCGCCTCCTCCTTGACCATGTCGATGATCTCGTCAGGGATGCGCAGGTACTTGATGGTGCTGCCGCGGATGTAGCACTCGGGCATCCGCCAGAACTTGTCCCCGTCCTGTGCAGGAAGGGGGTCTCGGAGCTGTGGGGCTGGAGGGCTGGGCGCTGGGGTGGCCTCTGTCCCCGCGGCACAACCTCCGTGAGTTCCCAAAGCTCAGACCCCGACGGGGCCTTGGGGGATCCACTCTCGGGTGGCTTCTCTCCCGGCCCCAGGAGATCCTATTCCTCCGTGAAGGGTGGGGGGCTGTGTCCTCCTCGCAGGCCCAGCTGGGGGGCTGACGGGCTGCTTCCCTCCGGGGCTCCTTACCCATGCTCAGGCCACGGCCCAGCTCCCTTCTGGAACCCCGTACCTGCCCTGGCCCGGGCACTCGCCCACCAAGTGCCTCCTGACGGGACCGAGCGGGACATGGAGCCCGCTAGGGGCCGCGCCCAACGGGCCAGCTTCGGGGTGCCGCTGTGGCTACGAGACGAGGGGCTGACGAGGGCACGGACGTGTGCCACCTCCCTCCCCAGCTCCCAGCACAGCCCCTGCCAGGACACGCGGCCTGGCTGGTGGAGCCCGGGCAGCCCCCACTCGAGCACTGGGCTTGCCCCCACACTGTTCCCAGGGCTCCTCGTCCAGCTGGCTCCAGGCCCCTCAGGCCTCACCCTGCGTCCTCAGTCCTCCCATCAGCTCCTGTGCCTGGGCCTGTCTGTCTGGCCTGAGAAGGCACTTGGTGGGGGAGGGCGAGCCGCCGGGGGCTGGCCCTGCGGGGAACCTGAGGGCGGGGGTCTCCCAGGGGCAGCTGGGGAGTGGGGAGCACGGCTGGGAGGTGCACAGTCCAGCCAGAAGCAGGGGTGGGTGCTACCTTGGGAGCTGGGCCTAGGGCTGAGCCTCTGGGCCAGGCCCTGCCCAGCTGGCCGAGAGGCCCAGGTTCCTTGCCTGCTCAGACAAGGGCACACGCGTTCCCACCGCCTCTCCCCCAACAGGGGCGACGGCCGCATCGCCAGTCACAGAGGCCCCAGGTGGGGAAGCCACGCCTCCCCCTGCACCGGCAGTGGCGCCGACCGACGCCTAGGACCACCCCGCCGGAGTGAAGGGCTTGGTTGCGTCACGCCTGCGCCCCGGCACCCTGGGTGGAACTGCACAGCTCACACACGATCCCACGCACCAGCGCGGGTGCAGAACACGCGTCCGCGACGCAGGGCAGGA